TAAGATGAGGATAAACCAGATCACTCTTTCCTTGTTGGTGGGAATGTAAAATGATACAGTCACTCTGCAAAACAGCTTGGTAGTTTTTTTTAAAATCAAACATACAATTACCATACAATCTAGCAATTTTACTATTAAAGTTATGTAAGAGAAATGAAAATTTTGCCTTACACAAAAATCTGTACATGAATGTCCTCAAATGCCTTATTTCTAACAGCCAAAGCCAAAAAGCAACAACAACAAAATAACTAGAATACATGCAATAATTTAGATAAATCCTCAGGGAATTATGCTTGATGTAAAAGCCAATTCTCAACACATACACCCTTCATATGTATGATTCCAATATATAGCATTTTAAAACAACTTTATTGAGATAAAATTAGTAAATTAACCCATTTACAATGTACAGGTTTGTGTGTGTGTGTGTGTGTGTGTGTACAATTACAGAGTGGTGTGGCACTATAGGGTAAGCACTGCACTGCTTACCCACCAGCCACTCCTCAGCCACTCCTCAGAAACCCTCTACAAGTTCTCTATGAATAAAACCGATTTGACAGCTCTTAACAACATCCACATTGGATTTAGTTTCCTTATCCACTTTTGTCTACTGAAATATAATTTGTTGTTGTTAAAGTGCCATAGAATAGGTTCCAACTCATAGCGACCCAAGGTGCAGCTGGTGGGTTTGAACTGCTGACCTTGTGGTTCAAACCAAGCTTGCAGTTCAGTGCTTATCCTACAGTGTCACACCAATCCACCAATTTTAAGTGTACAGTTAGTAGTTTTTAGTGTATTCACAAAATTGTCAAACCTTTAAAAAAAAAAAAATGTTACCATCTTGTCGATTCCAACTCATGGCAACTTCATGTTTCAGAGTGGAACTGCACTCCAACCATCACCACTGCATAATTCCTGAATACTTTCATCACTACCAAAAGAACCCGCATACCCATTAGCAGTCACTCCCATTTTCCTACCCCCTAAAAAATAAAAACCAAACTCGTGCCATTAAGTCTTATCGGACTCATAGTGGCCCTGTGTAGGGTTTCTGAGGCTGTAAATCTTTGTGGGAACAGAAAGTCTCATCTTTCTCTCCTGGAGCAGCTGGGGAATTTGAACTGCTGACCTTCTGATTAGCACTCCAGTGCTTATCCTATAGTACCACCCAGGCTCCTCCCCTACCTCTTAGCCCATTTGAACCCACTGTTGCAGCCACTGTGTCAACCCATCTTGTTGGGAGTCTTTCTCATTTTCACTGACCCTCTACTTTACCAAGCATAATGTTCTTCTCCAGAGACTGGCTCCTCCTGAGAACATGTCCAAAGTACGAGAGAAAGTTTCTCCAGTCTCTCTTCTGTTGTTGTTAGGTGCCATTGAGTCGGTACTGACTCATAGTGACCCTCTGAACAGCAGAACAAAACACTGCCCAGTCTTGGCCAACCTCACAATTGTTGCCATGCTTGAGCCCATGGATGCTGCCACTTTGCCAATCCATTTCACTGGGGGGTCTTCCTCTTCTAAGGAGCACTATATCTAACTGGACTGCAAGGTCAGTTTGAACTCACAAGCCACTCCTCAGAAACCCTATACAGGGTCACTATGAGTCAGAATCGACTCGACAGCACTTAACAACAACAACAACAGCTTCCAAGACAGGATCCTTGGTGTGGCTCTGTAGGATCAACACTGGACTGCAAACCACAAGTTTGGTTGTTCAAACCCACCATCTGCTCCTCAGAAACTCTACACGGGGTTGCTATAAGTCAGAACCACTCAACAGAACTTAACAACAATGACAACTTTCAAGACAGATTTGTTTGTCTTGGAATATTCTTCTGGCAGTCCCTGCAATGTTCAATATTCTTTGCCAACACCATAATTCAAATGTACAGTTCTTCTTCAGTCTTCCTTATTCCTTGTCCAGCTTTCACATGCATAAGAAGTGATTGAAAGTACCATGGCTTGGGACAGGTGCACCATAGTTTTCAAAGTGAAAACTTGGCATTTGCAGCAGATTTTGCCAATGCAATGTCATTTGATTTCCTGACTGCTGTTTTCCTAGGCATTGATTGTTGATCCAAGTAAAATAAAATCGTTGACTACTTCAGTCTTTTCTGTTTATCATGATGTTGCTTACTGGTCCAACAGTGAGGGATTTTTGTTTATGTTTAGGTGTCAGCCATATTAAAGGCTGTAGTCTTTGATCTTCAACAATAAGTTTCAAGTTCTTTTTTGCTTTCAGCAAGCAAGATTGTATCATATACATATCATTGGTTGCTAATGAAGATTCCTCCATTCCTGATGACACATTCTTTTTCATATAGTTCATCTTCTTGGATGATTTATTCAGCATACAGTTTGAATAAGTGTGGTGAAAAACTACAACTCAGATGCCCACTTTCCCTGATTTTAAACCACGCACTATTTCCCTGTTGTTAAGACAACTACCTCTTGGTCTGTGGATAAACTCCACATGAGCACAATTAAGTGCTCCGTAACTTCCATTCTTCTCAGTGTTATCCATCATTTGTTATGATCCAGGCAGTTGAATGCCTTTCATAGTCAACAAAGCACAAGTAGTAAATATCTTTCTGGTGTTCTCTTAGCATTCTCTGGCATTCAGTTAAGATCCATCTGATGTCAGCATTGATATTCCTTATTCCATGTCCTCTTGAATTTGTCTTGAATTTCTGGCAGTCCATGGATGTACACTGCATTAATTACATAAGCAGTTGATGTATTCCTTATATAATTTCTTTATGCAAGGTACCTCTAATCTTTATTGATGATTTGTTTTACAAAGTTTTATTAATTATACGGACACAAACTTTAAACCAAATCTGAACTATAAAAAAAATTCCAAACTTCTTTATTATTAATAATGTTTTACTTGTGTGGCGCTGTGGATTAATGAGCTGAACTGCAAAGTCGGCTGAACCTCAAGGCCGGCAGTTCAAGCTCACTCACCAGCTGCTCCTCAGAAACTGTATAAAAGGTCACTCTGGGTCAGAACCGATTCTATGACACTTAACAACAACAACAAAAACTACAGAAAAGAAGGGAGCCCTGCTAGCACTGTAGTATAAGCATTGGACTGCTAACCACAAGGTCATGAGTTCAAACCCACCAGCTGCTCTGAGGGAGAAAGATGAGGTTTTATGCTCCCATAAAGATTTTACAGCCTCAGAAACCCTATCCAAGTTCTCTATGAATCAGAATGGACTGGAATGACAGTGAATTTGGGGCATTTATAAAGAAGGAGAATAAAAATTGTGACTATCATGAATTGGCATCATACTTTTCTGAAAGAAAAAACAAATGTTAAGAAATCTTTCTAAGTTATGTTAATATTTATTGTGGCTATTTAAATTCCATTCAGATTTAAGCTCCACTCACCTCTCTATGTTAAAAAAAGGGAAACATTAGCGTAGATAAAATTATAAGATATGTATTTATGGATCCAGTAGTCCTGGTGGTACAGTGTTAGGTATTCAGCTGCTGCTAACTGAAAGGTCAGCAGTTCAAACCCACCAACCGTTCTGTAGGAGAAAGGCGTGGTAGTCTGCTTCTGTGAAGATTGACAGTTTTGAAAACTCTAAAGGATAGTTTTATTCTGTCCTTCAGGGTCTTTGGAGTCCTGGTGTGGCGCTGTGGTTAATGCATCAGACTGTAAAGCCATTTGAACTGCAAGATTGGCTGTTCAAGCTCACAAGCTGCTCCTAAGAAACCCTATACAGGGTCACTATGGGTTGGAACCGACTCGACGGCACTTAACAACAACAACAGGGTGTTTATACGTTATGGGTTGTCGTATAGGGTCTCTCTATCAGTTGATGGCAATGGGTTTACATTTATCTATAGCTAGATTTTTATCTGTTTACATAGAACTTGGTATCAGGCTACTGAAAGACAGAGCAGAAAAAAACTTTTAATAAATTCTTGGGCAGAAAAGAGGCCCAGGTGAGTAAAGTCATCCTAGAAGTGGTTACTTCTGTTAGATTAAACCATGTGTTGTATTGGCTTCTGTTAGATGAAACCATGTGTTGCCATGATACTGGAAGCTGTGCCCTGCTAGGTTTCAGTGGATTTTCCAGACTAAGCGAGACTAGGAAGAAAGACCTTGAGATTTATTTCCAAAAATTAACCAAAGAAAACCATCACAACAGAACGCATCTGAACTGCTTGCTTGGGACACGTCATCAGAAGGGCTCAATCACTGAAGGAGGTCATTGTTGATAAAATAGAGGGCAAACGAAGGCATGGGAGACATAAGGAGAGATACATGGGCACAAGAGTCACACTGGTGATGTTTGTTTGGTACACCACGTTGCTATGGGACGGAATCAAATTGATGGCAGCTAACAACAATAGCAAGCAACTTATGCAATGGGCTGATGAGCGATCTATGCATGTAAATATCCTGAGACAGTTATTACAGGAGCCCTGGAATGGCACTGTGGGATAAGCACTGGACCGCTAACCACAAGGTCAGCAGTTCAAACCCACCAGTCGCTCCTCTGAAACCTTATGCAGAGTCGCTATGAGTTGGAATAACAAAAACATACAGGTAGTACAGGTCTAATTAGCAACATCACTGTGCTCTTAAAGATGACAATGACCTTCAGTGGATGTACAAGTGGAATAATGAAAATGAGAATTCATTCTCCCCGATGAAATTGCTGAATACATGTAACTAGTAACTATTACCACAGAAATTTGGAGCCTGGCAGTCCATAGCAATGAGCTAACCCTTCAGCATTTGGCGGTCAATTCAAAAGCACTTAACTATGCACCACCTTTAAAGAGAGTTTGCTTGCAAAAGACAGGTTGAGGTCTAAATCAGGGCTCCTCCCTGATTGAGATAATTCAGTATTGAGGGGAAAAAAGCAAAATTGAATTAAAATAATTCTTTGAACCTTTTATCAGGATGTTTCTTATCCTGTGTTTACAAAGAATATAATTTTCCATTGTATTTTATTTTCAGATGATCAATATACCTCAGCTAAAAGAGTCTTGTTTTTCACCAGCAAACCAGGTAGGTCAGGATGGACAGGGCCAGCTGCCTTTTTGTTGAATTTGACTGGAATCTTGCTGGGAGCCACTTCAATAGGTGGGTCTAAACCTGCCTGCAAAGGGAAACTGCAGATTAACGACCTATACATGTGCTTGAACAGTCACCAGATCAAAATCAAGATTACAACAGAGCAACTCTAAATAGGATGAAAGCTTAAGATACTCATTTTGAGGAGCTTGCCTTCCAAATGCAACAGGTCTCAGGAAAATACCACGTAAAACGGTCATCTAAAAGGCTACTTTGCCTTTTTTTCTGAAAAGTATTACTCACCTGGCAATAATGTATGGTGGTGAGTATGTGCTGTGGTGTTGGTTCTGACTCATAGTGACACTGTATTAGGTTTCCGAGGCTGTAAATCTTTACAGGAACAGAAAGCCTCATCTTTCTCCTGCGGACCAGGCGATAGTTTCAAACTGCTGACCATGAGGTTAGCAGACCCACTTGTAACCACTATGCTACCAGAGCCCCTGCAATAATGTATAGCACCAACAATAATAAGTAAATGTTGTTGTTGTTGAGTGCTTTTGAGTTGGTTTCAACTCATGGACACAGTGTATAGGGTTTCCGAGGAATAGCTGCTGGTGAGTTTGAACCGTCAACCTGATGATTCAAACTGACCTGGAGGTCCAAGTGCTTATCTTATAACACATCTAAATATATATGATTTCTGAGAGCATATGAATCAAGAAAACACATAAAAGATCTGGAGAACTCTCACTTCACATCTAATAAAAACTTCCAGAATCTTGAACCATTAGAAGGTCAATAATGAAAAATTTCCCAGTTTTTTGCTTTATTTCTGGCTAAAAATCAATTCCTGTACATTATATTTCACTCACATTTTTTTTTTAAACATCTGAGTCAGTAGATAGCACCGATTTTGTGTTTCTGCAATACCTACATTGAGTGTAAAACTGAGGAAGTATTTCCATGTATTACAATATTTCCCATATATACAATGTTCTACACTGTTATTGGAGTCCTGGTGTGGCACTGTAGGATAAGCACTGGACTGCAAGGTCAGTTTGAACCGCAGGGTCTGGTAGTTCAAACTCACCAGTCGCTCCTTGGAAACTCTAAGCAGGTCACTATGAGTCAGAACTGACTTGACGGCACTTAGCAATAGCACTGTTATTAGTATAATTTTTGGTACAAAGTTTGTATGATTCGAATGAAACAAAGAAAAATGTATTATTAACCAAAATTGTTAAAAAAAAAAAAAAAGTATATAAAATATTCATTTTGAGGTACTTTCCTACCAAATGCACCAGGTATCAGAAAAATACAGAGTAACATGATCATCTAAAAGGCTACTTTACTTGTTTTTCTGGTGCTTAACATACTAAAAGTACAAAATATATTTTTCAAAAGTGATCAGGTTTTAGAATCAGTTTAATGCCTATAAAATACTAGGAAAAAACTTGTACGTAAAAATGCAAAAGAATTATGTTTAAGTGTTTAAAAGGGAGAGAGAGGAGGAAGTTGCAAATGTAAGTAAGCCACAAGAGACTATAAAGAATAATACTGGAAAAATAACCAAATGAAACTTCTAGAAATGAAGACTACAATAATTTACATTTAAAATTTCAATGAACACATTAAAAGACAGATGAAACCCTGCTGGAAAGTAAATGAACTTTAAGATAAATACAAATTATAAAGAGGGCTGCATATAAGGAAAAATAAATAGTAAATATGAAGGATAAATTAAAGACAGAGAAAGTCTAACATATGTCTCATTGGAATCCAAAATAGAATCAAGACAAGATAGTCTTTGAAGAAATAATATGAGAATTCTCCACAACATTTTAATGATGCTAATCCAAGTGCCCTCCCAAATCCAACGAATAAATGAAAAGGATTCCTTATCTGTATGCTCACAAGGAAATTACAGAATACCAAAGGAAGAAATCTTTAAAACATTCAGTAGAAATAACCTATTACAAAAACAAATCAGTGGAGAACAAACAAGATGGCGGATCAGGTAGAAGTGCAGTAAAGGAGCTCCAAAAACAACA